GAATGTGTGTGTGCTGCTCTTCCCATGAGGTGAGGCTGAATGTGTGTGTGCTGCTCTTCCTATCAGGTGAGGCTGAATGTGTGTGTGCTGCTCTTCCTATCAGGTGAGGCTGAATGTGTGTGTGCTGCTCTTCCTATCAGGTGAGGCTGAATGTGTGTGTGCTGCTCTTCCCATCAGGTGAGGCTGAATGTGTGTGTGCTGCTCTTCCCATCAGGTGAGGCTGAATGTGTGTGTGCTGCTCTTCCTATCAGGTGAGGCTGAATGTGTGTGTGCTGCTCTTCCCATGAGGTGAGGCTGAATGTGTGTGTGCTGCTCTTCCCATCAGGTGAGGGTGAATGTGTGTGTGCTGCTCTTCCTATCAGGTGAGGGTGAATGTGTGTGTGCTGCTCAGTCTATCAGGTGAGGGTGAATGTGTGTGTGCTGCTCAGTCCATCAGGTGAGGGTGAATGTGTGTGTGCTGCTCTTCCTATCAGGTGAGGGTGAATGTGTGTGTGTGTGTGCTGCTCAGTCTATCAGGTGAGGGTGAATGTGTGTGTGTGTGTGCTGCTCAGTCCATCAGGTGAGGGTGAATGTGTGTGTGCTGCTCAGTCTATCAGGTGAGGGTGAATGTGTGTGTGTGTGTGCTGCTGAGTCTATCAGGTGAGGGTGAATGTGTGTGTGCTGCTCTTCCCATCAGGTGAGGCTGAATGTGTGTGTGCTGCTCAGTCCATCAGGTGAGGGTGAATGTGTGTGTGCTGCTCTTCCCATCAGGTGAGGCTGAATGTGTGTGTGCTGCTCTTCCCATCAGGTGAGGGTGAATGTGTGTGTGCTGCTCTTCCCATCAGGTGAGGGTGAATGTGTGTGTGCTGCTCTTCCCATCAGGTGTTGTGAGTTTTCATAGTATGTTTAATACTTAAAACGAAAGTTAGTTATAATCAAATATAATTATTATATTTTTGTATAACCCACAATGAAAAATGCTTCATATTTTAGGTTTTTCTATAGTTACAGTATAAACAAAACCAAGTGGTTTGTTAAGTTGAGTGTACAGCCTAAAAAGAGTTATGGGTGTTTCGGATAAGAGATAGGCCGTTTTCTCCCTCTCCTCTGGCAGCAGTTCACAGGGAGGGGGGGGGCTCCAGGCTTAAGGAGAAACACATTAGAGGCCTAAAGGGGTCATGTCCTTTTTACACTAACATGGGAAGGTGTGTCTTATGCCATAAAGCTATGGAACATGTCGGGTCATGTTCAGCCTTGTACATTAGAGGCCATGCCCAGTTTTCCACAAATTGGGTGAAGAGGAGGAGTTTGTTTTTTTGGGGTTTCGATCCAGTTTTTTTAGCATAAAGAGACTGGTTTTTTGAGAGAGCGCGAGAGAGAGGGGGGTTTCGCCTGGTAGACTCTCTCCCGGTAGGCTTTGTGCTTCAGAGCTGGGTTAATAGCTCTCGGTAAGGTCCTCCCAGACGGGGTAAATATCTCTCGAATTTCTTGGTTGTTGGCTGAGTGGAATGATTTGATGAGAGATGTGTTTGTGAATATTATAACCCGCGACCTGTGAGGATCTTCCTCCGAAATCTTGGCGGATAGGAATGGGTTTTTGAATGTTATACCCGCCGTCTGTGTCGGAAAAAAAAGGTATGAAACTGAATTGATTTGGTGAATGAAAAGTTGAATGCGCTTTTTATTGTCACCGGTCTTTTTATGAGGAAATACCTCTAAATTCTATCGGGAGATTTTAAAATGTCACAACTGAAATGGGCAGTTGAAATTAAACATTTTGGTAATAAATGTAAGACTGTGAATTAAAGTTTCATATTTGAACATGATCACAGCACCAGGTTTTTAGTATGATTATAATGTTGTAAAGAGAGAAGGTAAAAACCCTGTATTAGTTTGGACCTATTTTTCTTCAAATAAACTGAATCCCACCTTTTGGACTGGGATAATTTAAAAGACACCTGTGCTCTCCTCTCCTGCTTAAAAGGTAAGACTGCACCCTGCCACACACACTTAGGTAGGAGCACACTCCATTTACTGATATCAAAATCCTTCGGGATCCCTTAAACAGATTAAAAAAGAGTTGTCTGAATTGAAACAGCAGTTAATTGAACCTGGTTCTTCAGGGGGTTAATAGGGGTGAGATCTTGCTGACGTTGGTGGATCTGAGCCAAGCAGCAAACTTACATAGACTCAATAACTTCGGAAAGGTCAATTAGTAGGTCAGAGTAATTTACCGGAATAAATTATCAGGACCTCTCCGACTCTAAACACAGGTGAGGGTGAATGTGTGTGTGCTGCTCAGTCTATCAGGTGAGGCTGAATGTGTGTGTGCTGCTCTTCCCATCAGGTGAGGGTGAATGTGTGTGTGCTGCTCAGTCTATCAGGTGAGGCTGAATGTGTGTGTGCTGCTCAGTCCATCAGGTGAGGGTGAATGTGTGTGTGCTGCTCTTCCCATCAGGTGAGGCTGAATGTGTGTGTGCTGCTCTTCCCATCAGGTGAGGGTGAATGTGTGTGTGCTGCTCTTCCCATCAGGTGAGGCTGAATGTGTGTGTGCTGCTCTTCCTATCAGGTGAGGCTGAATGTGTGTGTGCTGCTCAGTCCATCAGGTGAGGCTGAATGTGTGTGTGCTGCTCAGTCCATCAGGTGAGGCTGAATGTGTGTGTGCTGCTCAGTCTATCAGGTGAGGCTGAATGTGTGTGTGCTGCTCAGTCCATCAGGTGAGGCTGAATGTGTGTGTGCTGCTCAGTCCATCAGGTGAGGCTGAATGTGTGTGTGCTGCTCAGTCTATCAGGTGAGGCTAAATGTGTGTGTGCTGCTCTTCCCATCAGGTGAGGGGGAATGTGTGTGTGCTGCTCTTCCTATCAGGTGAGGCTGAATGTGTGTGTGCTGCTCTTCCTATCAGGTGAGGCTGAATGTGTGTGTGCTGCTCTTCCTATCAGGTGAGGCTGAATGTGTGTGTGCTGCTCTTCCCATCAGGTGAGGGGGAATGTGTGTGTGTGTGTGTGTGCTGCTCAGTCTATCAGAGGACACTCAGGTTAAACTCACGTAGCCTCCATGAGATCTTGGTGCTGTTGGATGCAGCCATTGGACCCGCGCTCAGGTAAATTCATCCGCTTCAGTCCGGATCAGTGAGTTCAGACATCAGCTGCTCCACTGCCTGCACACACACACACACACACACACACACACACACACACACACACACACACACACACACACACACACACACACACACACACACACACACACACACACACACACACACACACACACAGTAAAGGTGTGTCACAGTAACATGAAACACGTCCTCTGTTCTCTATAGCTCCTTTAAAAAGCTTATTGTGCAATCAACCTGCAATGAGCAATATAAACACTGTTTGCAATTGTACCGTGCAATAATCACTTGTGAAAAACATACATTTTAATAACATCTCAACAGCATTTCCTAACATTCGGTCTATATGCTGTAACATGTATTATCTCTTGGATTTACACACGGCATCTATTGCACGTCTGTCCGTCCTGGGAGAGGGATCCCTCCTCTGTTGCTCTCCCTGAGGTTTCTCCCATGTTCCCTTTAAACTGTGGGTTTTCTCTGGAAGTGTTTCCTTTTACGATGTGAGGGTCTAAGGACAGAGGGTCTAAGGACAGAGGGTCTAAGGACACAGGGTCTAAGGACAGAGGGTCTAAGGACAGAGGGTCTAAGGACAGAGGGTCTGAGGACAGAGGGTCTAAGGACAGAGGGTCTAAGGACAGAGGGTCTAAGGACAGAGGGTCTGAGGACAGAGGGTCTAAGGACAGAGGGTCTAAGGACAGAGGGTCTAAGGACAGAGGGTCTAAGGACAGAGGGTCTGAGGACAGAGGGTCTAAGGACAGAGGGTCTAAGGACAGAGGGTCTAAGGACAGAGGGTCTGAGGACAGAGGGTCTGAGGACAGAGGGTCTAAGGACAGAGGGTCTAAGGACAGAGGGTCTGTGCTGTTGTATTTGCTGTAAAGTGTCTCTACTGTAGGCTATTTTTATTATATGTACAGCACTTTGGCTCCACCAAAAATCGTTTATAAATGTGCTTTATAAATAAAACTTGATTTGATTTGAACGTAATATGTTCGTTATGTCACTTGTTTGTAAATTAGTAGCCATGGCTGTGTACATTTGTATGTGTCTGTATTTTAAGTGTGAACACCGGATAACATTGTTGTTTATTGAAATCTACCTTTGTAGTCAGGGTGGAGAAGTACTCAGATCCTGTACTTGAGTGAAGTAGAAGTAGTCAGATCCTGTACTTGAGTAAAAGTAGAAGTACTCAGATCCTGTACTTGAGTAAAAGTAGAAGTACTCAGATCTTGCACTTGAGTAAAAGTAGAAGTACTCAGGTCTTGTACTTGAGTAAAAGTAGAAGTACTCAGATCTTGTACTTGAGTAAAAGTAGAAGTACTCAGGTCTTGTACTTGAGTAAAAGTAGAAGTACCAGAGTGTAGGAATACTCTGTCACAGTAAAAGTCATGCATTCAAAATGTTCCTCAAGTAAAAGTAGAAAGTATTCTCATCAAAATATAGTGAAAGACAGTAAAAGTAGTCGTTGTGCAGATTGGTCCATTTCAGAATAATATATATGATGTATTTTATAATGATTGATCATAAAGTGTTCTCAAAGCTGGTGAAGGTGCAGCTAGTCTGAATGACTTTGTATTCTGCAGGGTAGCTGGTGGATTTACTCCAGGTGGAACTAAAGTCTGATTCAACACTTGGTTATATTTCACATCATTCATCCACATCTGTGAAGTAACTAAAGGTATTAAATACATGTAGTGGAGGAAAAGTACACCATGTACCTCTGAACTGTAGAGGAGTAGAAGTACTCAGTAGCATAACATGAAACTACACAAGTAAAGTACAAGTATCTCTAAAGTGTACTTAAGTACGGTACTTGGGTTAATGTACTTAAGTACTTAACATGACTGTTTGTACTCAAGTACTTAACATGACTGTTTGTACTCAAGTACTTAACATGACTGTTTGTACTTATATATTGTAGTATATAGTGTATAAACAAACTTTAACCCGAGCTAGTTATCCTTACATCCGGGTGACTTACAGTCGTTAGCTTTAAAGCTAGCTGTCAGTTAGCAGGGCTAATTAACGCTAAGCTAACGCTAGATGCTATCTGATCCGTTAGAAACCACATACCGGTCTGTTAGCCTCCGTGCGTGTGTCGGTGGTCCTCTGAGAGACCGGAGACCGTTAAACCGTAAACTGTCTCTTGTTGACCGGTTGCTGCTCCGCTGCAGCTTAGCAACAAACCGACGTAACCTCCGGTGACGTCACGACGCAACGTTTTTGAAACAACATTTGATTCACGAATTTTACTGGGAACATATTAATTACTTAAGGAGTACGGGGATTTTTCATAGGATGTGTGACGTCATTTATCTTTATTTAATTTATTTATTTGTATTATTATTATGCAGGGCTTTAGATTGTGAACCAAAAGCGCACACTCCGGAACAGAAAGGTGGCGGTAATGCACCATTGAGCTGGATGCCAACCGCAGTAAAACTCGACAAAGAAGAAGAAGAAGAAATATAGGAGGAAGAAGCCAGTATAAACAAACATGGCCGCGGTGGACGTGGAGGACGAGAGTCTCCTCGCCTCCATCTTTAAGGACCGCTTCTCCCCGGACTGTAACGCCTATCTGTCGGAGCTGAGCTCCCTGAGGCTGGAGCAGCTGGTCCGGGAGCCGGAGAGACTGCAGGAGGACCGGGCTCTGATCCTCCAGCAGACCCGGGACCTGGCCTTCAGGAACTACCAGACCTTCATCCGGACAGCCAACTGCACGGAGCTCATCTACCGGGACTTCAGCCGGGTGGAGGGCAGCGTGAACCGGCTGATCGGGAAGCTGCCGGGGCTGGGGGAGAGATGCAGGTTAGTTACAACAAGTAACTAACATCCAACAACCACTGACAACCAGTAACTACCACTATCAGCTAGTGACAGCGAGTGACAACCAGTAAACTAGAGAGCAGCGTGAACCGGCTGATCGGTAAGCTGCCGGGGCTGGGGGAGAGATGCAGGTGAGAGCTAATAACTAATCAATAACTAACATCCAACAACCACTGACAACTAGTAACTGCCGGGGTTAGGAGAGAGGTGCAGGTGAGAGAGACTAGTAGCAGCTCATAACAACCAGTATCTAACAACCAACAACCAGTAACTAACAACCAGTAACTAACTCATGAGACGCAGGTCAGTGCAGAGGGGAGAGAGCCGAGGGACACCCAGTAACTAATTCAATTCTTATTTTAAAGTGACTTGACTGTATCTTACATTTTATTAATCTTGTGTGAATCTGTCCTGTTTTTCATTCTCACCCTGTTGCTGTTTAATTACTGAATTTCCCCACAGGGAATAATAAAGGTCCATCTTATCTTAACTAACTAAGTGTGTGTGTTTTCAGGGGCTTCATGAAGGAGGCGGAGGAGATCGGGTCGAGCCGGAGGATGAACAGTTTGACGCTGAACCGGCACACGGAGATCCTGGAGATCCTGGAGATCCCGCAGCTCATGGACACCTGCGTCCGAAACGGATACTACGAGGAGGCTCTGGAGCTGGCAGCGTACGTGAAGAGGCTGGAGAGGAAACACTCGACTCTGCCCGTCATCCAGGTGAGGAAACAACACTGAGCTTTAAGTACACTCAAACAGCTCCAAGTACACTCAGAAACAGCTCCAAGTACACTCAGAAACAGCTCCAAGTACACTCAGAAACAGCTCCAACTTCACTCAGAAACAGCTCCAAGTACACTCAGAAACAGCTCCAAGTACACTCAGAAACAGTTCCAAGTACACAGCTCCAAGTACACTCAGAAACAGCTCCAAGTTCACTCAGAAACAGCTCCAAGTACACTCAGAAACAGCTCCAAGTACACTCAAACAGCTCCAAGTTCACTCAGAAACAGCTCCAAGTACACAGCTCCAAGTACACTCAGAAACAGCTCCAACTTCACTCAGAAACAGCTCCAAGTACACTCAGAAACAGCTCCAAGTACACTCAGAAACAGCTCCAAGTACACTCAGAAACAGTTCCAAGTACACTCAGAAACAGCTCCAAGTACACTCAGAAACAGCTCCAACTTCACTCAGAAACAGCTCCAAGTACACTCAGAAACAGCTCCAACTTCACTCAGAAACAGCTCCAAGTACACTCAGAAACAGCTCCAAGTACACTCAGAAACAGCTCCAAGTTCACTCAGAAACAGTTCCAAGTACACTCAGAAACAGCTCCAAGTACACTCAGAAACAGCTCCAAGTACACTCAGAAACAGCTCCAAGTACACTCAGAAACAGCTCCAAGTTCACTCAGAAACAGCTCCAAGTACACTCAGAAACAGCTCCAAGTTCACTCAGAAACAGCTCCAAGTACACTCAGAAACAGCTCCGAGTACACTCAAACAGCTCCAAGTACACTCAAACAGCTCCAAGTACACTCAAACAGCTCCAAGTTCACTCAGAAACAGCTCCAAGTACACAGCTCCAAGTACACTCAGAAACAGCTCCAAGTACACTCAGAAACAGCTCCAACTACACTCAGAAACAGCTCCAAGTACACTCAGAAACAGCTCCAAGTACACTCAGAAACAGCTCCAAGTACACTCAGAAACAGCTCCAAGTACACTCAGAAACAGCTCCAAGTACACTCAGAAACAGCTCCAACTTCACTCAGAAACAGCTCCAAGTACACTCAGAAACAGCTCCAAGTACACTCAGAAACAGCTCCAAGTACACTCAGAAACAGCTCCAAGTACACTCAGAAACAGCTCCAAGTTCACTCAGAAACAGTTCCAAGTACACAGCTCCAAGTACACTCAGAAACAGCTCCAAGTTCACTCAGAAACAGCTCCAAGTACACTCAGAAACAGCTCCGAGTACACTCAAACAGCTCCAAGTACACTCAAACAGCTCCAAGTTCACTCAGAAACAGCTCCAAGTACACAGCTCCAAGTACACTCAGAAACAGCTCCAAGTACACTCAGAAACAGCTCCAAGTACACTCAAACAGCTCCAAGTACACTCAAACAGCTCCAAGTACACTCAAACAGCTCCAAGTACACTCAAACAGCTCCAAGTACACTCAGAAACAGCTCCAAGTACATTCAAACAGCTCCGAGTACACTCAAACAGCTCCGAGTACACTCAAACCGCTCCGAGTACACTCAAACAGCTCCGAGTACACTCAAACAGCTCCGAGTACACTCAAACAGCTCCGAGTACACTCAAACAGCTCCGAGTACATTCAAACAGCTCCGAGTACACTTAGACAGCTCTAATTAAGTGAATGGAATTGGTTCTATCTTCTACATACTCTCCTCTCATAACCCTCTTCCCTCAGGGCATCGTGCGCGAGGTGCGTCAGTCCACGTCTCTGATGCTGAACCAGCTCCTGCAGCAGCTGCGCAGTAACTCCCAGCTGCCCGTGTGCCTGCGTGTGATTGGCTACCTGCGCAGGATGGACGTGTTCACGGAGGCGGAGCTTCGGGTGAAGTTCCTGCAGGCGCGCGGCTCCTGGCTGAGCTCCATCCTGGCCGCCGTGCCTAACGACGACCCCTACTTCCACATCACCAAGACCATGGAGGCGTGCCGCGTGCACCTGTTCGACGTCATCACGCAGTACCGCGCCATCTTCTCCGACGACGACCCCCTGCCCGGCAGCCAGGTGAACGAGGCGGCCATCTTCCACGGCTGGGTGGTGAAGATGGTGTCCGAGTTCCTGCAGACGCTGGAGAGGGACCTGCAGCGAGGGGTGAATGCTGAGCACTTCTTCATCACTTCATCACTAGACACTTCATCACTAGACACTTCATCACTAGACACTTCATCACTTCGTCACTATTATTATTTTTAATTTATCTTAATGTTTAACTTGTGTGATTCACTGTTTTGAACTTTGACCTGTTGCTGCTATAAACGCCTGAAACGGGGATGAATAAAGTTCCATCTTCTCCTAACACACACCTCTCTCACACACAATCCTCTCTAATAAACTCCTCTCAAACACGCTCCTCACACATGCCTCAAACACGCTCCTCACACACACCTCACCTCACACACATCTCTCACACATTTCAGTGCCGCCCATACCCATGTGACCCGAATGATCCATCCATGATAAACAAAGCCCAATATGAACAAAGTAAACCTTATTAAATGTCCCCTCTTCTGACCCATGTGTTGCCCCGTCAGGTGGGGGGGCGTCTGGACTCCCTGCTGGGTCAGTGCATGTACTTCGGCCTCTCCTTCAGTCGGGTCGGGGCAGATTTCCGCGGCCAGCTGGCTCCGATGTTCCAGCGCTCGGCGGCGGAGACGTTTCGCGGCGCCGTGTCGGAGGCGCTGGAGAGGTTCCAGGAGGACATGAACGTGTACACCCTGATCTCCATGCCCTCTGTGCTGGGTGGCTCCATCCCCCCCCAGCAGGGGCCCCAGCCCGGCACCCTGCAGCCCCCCCTCTCTCTGCTGGACTTCACCCCGCTCGCCTGCTTCCTCAACAACATCCTGAGCGCCTTCAACGACCTCAGGCTCTGCTGCCCTGTGGGCCTCGCTGAGGAGGTGAGCGTCTGCCTGCAGGACGCCATGGCCAACGTGAGTCACTAACCTCAAGGTCTCCTATCATACTGTTCATACCATAATGTCTGAGGAGGTGAGCGTCTGCCTGCAGGACGCCATGGCCAACGTGAGTCACTAATCTAAAGGTCTCCTATCATACTGTTCATACCATAATGTCTGAGGAGGTGAGCGTCTGCCTGCAGGACGCCATGGCCAACGTGAGTCACTAACCTAAAGGTCTCCTATCATACTGTTCATACCATAATGTCTGAGGAGGTGAGCGTCTGCCTGCAGGACGCCATGGCCAACGTGAGTCACTAACCTAAAGGTCTCCTATCATACTGTTCATACCATAATGTCTGAGGAGGTGAGCGTCTGCCTGCAGGACGCCATGGCCGACGTGAGTCATGGTGGATCACAATAAGCAAAACTCACACCCTACAAAGAACAGTTCCGTGTTCAGATAGACTGTCTTCTCAAAGATATTGAAGTGGCTGGTATTTTGTATTTATTGATTGTTGTGCTCTTAATGTGTGCACATGTGTCTTTTGATTGTGTATATATTTGTTTTTGTATTCAGGATTGAGGGAAACGGTATTTCGATCTCTCAGTACACACAAACTGAAAGATTGACCATAACGTTGACTTGACGTGCTCCAACAGTGCTGCTGTAACTTCCTGTTTCCTGTCAGGTGACGCGTCAGGTGTTGCTGTTCCACCGTGCGGAGGAGTCAGCGTTCAGCGCTCGAGAGAAAGACCTCTTCCTGTCGTTCTGCTGCTCGTACGCTGAGGATCTGCTGCCTTTCATCAACCGCTGCCTTCAGATCCTCTTCCCGCCCAATCAGATCGCTCTCATCCTGGGTGAGGAGCAGGAAATCATCCAATCACATCTCACCTGCTCTATCACAGCAGAATACACTCAAAGAGTCAAAGATCATCATATGCACAAAGCTACAGTGTAGAAATGACCCATTTGATTCTTTAAATAATTTAAATGTATTTATTGAAATATATTCTTTTGTGTGTTTTCAATTCATTCTAGAATCTGCATGAGTTGAGAGCAATGGCTTTAAAAATCATAATCTCAATATAATACATAACACTATTCAGTAGAGTTGTGCCTCCAGATAAAATGTATTATTAATGTTGACCACCGTAATATTGATTATGATATTAGCCATATTGAATTCCTATGTACTTAATAACGCAGTTTCTTAACCCACCAGCAGGGGCGCTGTCCCCCCAACACTCGGGTTCAAAACATTACAAAATCATTAGGATTTATTTTTTGTTTTCAATATGTTTCGGCAGTGGAAAGTGATGATATATGGACCCTGAATCTAACTAGAGCTGTCGTCCAGAGACAATAATGTGCGCCAGGGAACCTACGTTCCAGAACAGAAGGGCTTCTAGATGTCCCTGAACAGTAAACTACCTCATGGCAGCTTGTGCTCGGTCATAAGCTGCAACAACAATGCGCCCAAGCTGCCCCTCCTCAAGAGAGATAGCAGCAGAACCCAAGCTACTCCCCCTCAAGAGAGATAGCAGCAGAACCCAAGCTCCTCCCCCTCAAGAGAGATAGCAGCAGAACCCAAGCTACTCCCCCTCAAGAGAGATAGCAGCAGAACCCAAGCTACTCCCCCTCAAGAGAGATAGCAGCAGAACCCAAGCTACTCCCCCTCAAGAGAGATAGCAGCAGAACCCAAGCTACTCCCCCTCAAGAGAGATAGCAGCAGAACCCAAGCTACTCCCCCTCAAGAGAGATAGCAGCAGAACCCAAGCTACTCCCCCTCAAGAGAGATAGCAGCAGAAACCCAAGCTGCTCCTCCTCAAGAGAGATAGCAGCAGAACCCAAGCTACTCCCCCTCAAGAGAGATAGCAGCAGAACCCAAGCTACTCCCCCTCAAGAGAGATAGCAGCAGAACCCAAGCTGCTCCCCCTCAAGAGAGATAGCAGCAGAACCCAAGCTGCTCCCCCTCAAGAGAGATAGCAGCAGAACCCAAGCTGCTCCTCCTCAAGAGAGATAGCAGCAGAACCCAAGCTGCTCCTCCTAAAGAGAGATAGCAGCAGAACCCAAGCTGCTCCCCCTAAAGAGAGATAGCAGCAGAACCCAAGCTGCTCCTCCTAAAGAGAGATAGCAGCAGAACCCAAGCTACTCCCCCTCAAGAGAGATAGCAGCAGAACCCAAGCTCCTCCCCCTCAAGAGAGATAGCAGCAGAACCCAAGCTACTCCCCCTCAAGAGAGATAGCAGCAGAACCCAAGCTACTCCTCCTCAAGAGAGATAGCAGCAGAACCCAAGCTACTCCCCCTCAAGAGAGATAGCAGCAGAACCCAAGCTGCTCCTCCTAAAGAGAGATAGCAGCAGAACCCAAGCTGCTCCTCCTCAAGAGAGATAGCAGCAGAACCCAAGCTGCTCCTCCTAAAGAGAGATAGCAGCAGAACCCAAGCTGCTCCCCCTAAAGAGAGATAGCAGCAGAACCCAAGCTGCTCCTCCTAAAGAGAGATAGCAGCAGAACCCAAGCTACTCCCCCTCAAGAGAGATAGCAGCAGAACCCAAGCTCCTCCCCCTCAAGAGAGATAGCAGCAGAACCCAAGCTACTCCCCCTCAAGAGAGATAGCAGCAGAACCCAAGCTGCTCCTCCTAAAGAGAGATAGCAGCAGAACCCAAGCTCCTCCCCCTCAAGAGAGATAGCAGCAGAACCCAAGCTACTCCCCCTTAAGAGAGATAGCAGCAGAACCCAAGCTCCTCCCCCTCAAGAGAGATAGCAGCAGAACCCAAGCTGCTCCCCCTCAAGAGAGATAGCAGCAGAACCCAAGCTGCTCCTCCTAAAGAGAGATAGCAGCAGAACCCAAGCTCCTCCCCCTAAAGAGAGATAGCAGCAGAACCCAAGCTCCTCCCCCTCAAGAGAGATAGCAGCAGAACCCAAGCTGCTCCTCCTAAAGAGAGATAGCAGCAGAACCCAAGCTCCTCCCCCTCAAGAGAGATAGCAGCAGAACCCAAGCTGCTCCTCCTAAAGAGAGATAGCAGCAGAACCCAAGCTACTCCTCCTCAAGAGAGATAGCAGCAGAACCCAAGCTGCTCCCCCTTAAGAGAGATAGCAGCAGAACCCAAGCTGCTCCCCCTTAAGAGAGATAGCAGCAGAACCCAAGCTGCTCCCCCTTAAGAGAGATAGCAGCAGAACCCAAGCTGCTCCTCCTTAAGAGAGATAGCAGCAGAACCCAAGCTGCTCCCCCTCAAGAGAGATAGCAGCAGAACCCAAGCTGCTCCTCCTCAAGAGAGATAGCAGCAGAACCCAAGCTGCTCCTCCTCAAGAGAGATAGCAGCAGAACCCAAGCTGCTCCTCCTAAAGAGAGATAGCAGCAGAACCCAAGCTCCTCCCCCTCAAGAGAGATAGCAGCAGAACCCAAGCTGCTCCTCCTAAAGAGAGATAGCAGCAGAACCCAAGCTCCTCCCCCTCAAGAGAGATAGCAGCAGAACCCAAGCTGCTCCTCCTCAAGAGAGATATCAGCAGAACCCAAGCTGCTCCCCCTTAAGAGAGATAGCAGCAGAACCCAAGCTACTCCCCCTTTAGAGAGATAGCAGCAGAACCCAAGCTCCTCCCCGTCAAGAGAGATATCAGCAGAACCCAAGCTGCTCCCCCTCAAGAGAGATATCAGCAGAACCCAAGCTGCTCCCCCTCAAGAGAGATATCAGCAGAACCCAAGCTGCTCCTCCTCAAGAGAGATAGCAGCAGAACCCAAGCTACTCCCCGTCAAGAGAGATATCAGCAGAACCCAAGCTGCTCCCCCTCAAGAGAGATATCAGCAGAACCCAAGCTGCTCCTCCTCAAGAGAGATAGCAGCAGAACCCAAGCTACTCCTCCTCAAGAGAGATAGCAGCAGAACCCAAGCTGCTCCTCCTCAAGAGAGATAGCAGCAGAACCCAAGCTACTCCTCCTCAAGAGAGATAGCAGCAGAACCCAAGCTACTCCTCCTCAAGAGAGATAGCAGCAGAACCCAAGCTACTCCCCCTAAAGAGAGATAGCAGCAGAACCCAAGCTACTCCCCCTAAAGAGAGATAGCAGCAGAACCCAAGCTACTCCCCCTAAAGAGAGATAGCAGCAGAACCCAAGCTGCTCCCCCTCAAGAGAGATATCAGCAGAACCCAAGCTGCTCCCCCTCAAGAGAGATAGCAGCAGAACCCAAGCTGCTCCCCCTCAAGAGAGATATCAGCAGAACCCAAGCTGCTCCCCCTTAAGAGAGATAGCAGCAGAACCCAAGCTACTCCTCCTCAAGAGAGATAGCAGCAGAACCCAAGCTGCTCCTCCTTAAGAGAGATAGCAGCAGAACCCAAGCTACTCCCCCTCAAGAGAGATAGCAGCAGAACCCAAGCTGCTCCTCCTCAAGAGAGATAGCAGCAGAACCCAAGCTACTCCCCGTCAAGAGAGATATCAGCAGAACCCAAGCTGCTCCCCCTTAAGAGAGATATCAGCAGAACCCAAGCTACTCCCCCTCAAGAGAGATAGCAGCAGAACCCAAGCTGCTCCCCCTCAAGAGAGATAGCAGCAGAACCCAAGCTGCTCCCCCTCAAGAGAGATAGCAGCAGAACCGAAGCTACTCCTCCTCAAGAGAGATATCAGCAGAACCCAAGCTGCTCCCCCTCAAGAGAGATAGCAGCAGAACCCAAGCTGCTCCTCCTCAAGAGAGATATCAGCAGAACCCAAGCTACTCCCCCTTAAGAGAGATATCAGCAGAACCCAAGCTGCTCCCCCTCAAGAGAGATAGCAGCAGAACCCAAGCTGCTCCCCCTCAAGAGAGATATCAGCAGAACCCAAGCTGCTCCCCCTTAAGAGAGATAGCAGCAGAACCCAAGCTGCTCCCCCTTAAGAGAGATAGCAGCAGAACCCAAGCTACTCCCCCTCAAGAGAGATAGCAGCAGAACCCAAGCTGCTGCCCCTTAAGAACCTTATATTTTATGTTATCTTTACATTAAAGTCATGGAGTAATGGTTTTAAATAATCGTGATCTTAGTATCAACGGATGTCATATTGATTGTGGTGTTTTCCTTATTGAGCGGCCTTTCAATGACGGGTTTAAATGTTTCTCTGCAGGAGTTCCCGTCTCTCAGCTGCACAGATTCGGTAGTTTGGGAAACATCGACATCGCCGCCATCCTGACGCCACTCAGCTTCCTGCTGCCGCAAATCGAAATTGCGCCGGAGGAGATCCAACTTCCAGAAATCTCCTCCGATATCGACATCTCCCCCGAACTCAGCGGTCTCACGTTGGAGACGCAGCGACAGGAAGTGCAGACGCAGCAACAGGAAGTGGAGACGCAGCAACAGGAAGTGGAGACGCAGCAACAGGAAGTAGAGACGAAGCAACAGGAAGTAGAGACAAAGCAACAGGAAGTGGAGACGCATCAACAGGAAGTAGAGACAAAGCAACAGGAAGTAGAGCTGAGCAAGGAAACGGGAAAAAGCGATTCTGAGGATCAGGACGAAGACTTTTCTCTGGAGTGACGACAATTATTTAATAACTCTACTCTATTAATAATAATTAAAAATGAAAATATAATAATGATTTCTCCATTGGGAGGGTTCCCTGCTGTGGGGATGGGACGTTCAAATGATTTATTGGAAAGAAGACTCTTATTTAAGGCAAAGGGAAATGCTAAGTCTGTGTTCACGCCTCTTTTTATGCATTTGCCCTTAAAGTCCAGATAATGTTGAAATATTTTTATAAAGTGTTTTTCTTTTGGCTGAGGTGTAAAGTTGGTGTATGGATAAAAGCTAAGTGTAAACATTTATAGTGAATAAATGGGATTTATAGTGTAATCAATGACTCAATTTACTTTGCATATTTTCTGGAATTCTGTAAAAATTATGTTCTGGGATAAAAAATAACTATTTATAAAATATATTTGACAAAAAAGTGTTCTCAGGACTCTCATACTTGCATAAAGAACGTAAGCAGGTGAAACTGTTAGCCTAGCTTAGCACAAACAACTGAAAGTACTGGCCACCGTTAGCCTAGCTTAGCACCAAGACGAAACATGGAAAACTTTTAGCTTAGCTTAGCACAAGGACTGGAAGCAGGGGAAATTGTTAGCCTAGCTTAGCACAAAGACTGGAAGCAGGGGAAACGGTTAGCCTAGCTCAGCGCCATATAGAGAGAATTATATTATTATATGGCTCTGGCCTAGCTTAGCATAAAGGCCGTAATCAGGGCAATTTGTTAACTTAGTTTAGCGCAAAAACGGGAAGCAGGATTGAAGGATTATCTGAAATAAATCACATTTGTTCACATATAAATAAGAAACTGCATCAGTTGTAGTTTGAACATTTATTGGTGTAGAACAGATTGATCGTGTCACATCACAGGTTCCTGTTTTACTGCTGGGTGTGTTTAAAGGACCGTTCTGCAGTTAGCATGCTTTACTGTGTAATATTTAAACATGCAGTTAACGAGTAACATACCACCGCGTATTAGGGTCAGTGTAAATTTAAAAAAACATTACGGAGCCGGGGGAGGAGGGTTATATTATATATCATTTACGTTATATCTGGTTCCCTGACAAAAATACGTTTTTCTAACAAACTTCTGACCTTTTATTTTAATAAATCCCAGCTCCCATGGCTCTGTAATTAGTTTTTTAGACTACAATAAGGCTGAGCAATGTTTATATTATATCGGCAATGTGATATGGTCTTAGATTTCTGATGAAATACAGGACTTTTTCTGGTTTGAAACGCTAATTTACAGCAAAATAATGTCATTTTCTGAATTTTCTAAACTGTTATTGCCTTTTTATTATTTGCTTTTACACATTAAGTCATTAAATCCACATCACTGATAATAGGGTTATCCAACATTTCATTGTGTAGATATTTTTATTAAAGCACCAATAATCCACATCACAATTTTGGTATTCGGGTCACAATATTTCTGAGCAAATACCAAATCATCAGTGCAGACATTGAGATTTGGGGTAAATTATCATTATTTATGTGAATTTACTGACTTTACTGACTTTACTGACACAAAACAGCAGGAAACAGTGTGTGAAATTCAGAAAATTATGTATTTTTACCGTAACTTAAGTCTCTAAAACCAGGAAATACATTACCATATCCAAAATACAACACGATATTTAGTGGATTCGTTATAACATCCTTTTATCGCCCAGCCTACATTACTGACACAAAACAGCAGGAAACAGTTTGTTCAATGCAGAAAATGACGTCTTTTTTACTGTAACTTAAAACTCTAAAAGCGGTGTTTTTCGGCACTTTAATGAATTCTGAATCCTCGTGTCGGTCAGTTCTTCTTCACAAACATATTGTGATATTTGTTGTTGAAATGTAACACCAGATTTTTAGTGCTTTAATAACATTAATACAATGAGATTTGGGACCAATTATCATCATTTATGTGAATTCACTGAAGTAACTGACACAAAGCGGCAGGGAACAGTTCGTGAAATGCAGGAAATTACGTCTTTTTACTGTAACTTCGACTCTAGAAGCGGTGTTTCGGCCCTTTAAATAATTCTGAACCCTGGTGTCGGTCAGTTCTTCTTCACAAACTTCTTGTGCGCGGCGTTGGGGTTAGCGCGCCGCCGCCCGCCGCCCCCCTGCCCGTCTCTGATCTGCAGGTTAGCGGCTCGGCTGTAGATGTCGTTCTGGCTGAAGGGAGACGCTCCGGAGACGAAGTCCGGGTCGAACACGTTGGTTTTCTGCCGGGCTTTACGGGAGAGTCTCTGCTGAGGGAAGCGCTGATCCTCCACCAGCTGAGGGTTGTTCCCGTGTTTACCTCCCTGAGGCATCGGCAGAGAGTGCTGCAACAACAACAACATGAAGGGTTAGATTCAAGGCTTTTATTGTCATTTGTACATTAGCTACAGTGTAGATATGTCAGCACCAGACACTTTTACGCTGCTATGGACAGTCTTGCACTAATGTACATTTTCAAAGATATTGAAGTGACTTATTTATTGATTGTTGTGTTTTTATTTAGGTCTTAATGTATGGGAATGAAAAACTGAAGTCACAGGCTTCTCCAACAGAGCAACATGAATATACATAGGACATAAAACAAATAAAACAGATAAAATAGTGCAAGAGAATGTTTTGTGTACGCAAGTAAATACAAATAAAATTGAAATAGTGTTTAATAGTCTTCCCTGAAGGCAGCATCTCCCTGGTCCAATAGGATTTCTCCATGTGATTTTGGATTATTGCAGAAAATAATCTCAAACAAACGTTTATGAGCAGGAGAATCTCCACATGTTAACATCACTTTATGATTTCTGAAGTGAAAAGCTAATGTTGGGCTATAAAGGAACTACAGCACGGTCACATGACTTCACGTCACCACCGCTAAGCTAAAGGAGGCTAATGTTGGCCTATAAAGGAACTACAGCACGGTCACATGACTTCACGTCACCACCGCTAAGCTAAAGGAGGCTAATGTTGGGCTATAAAGGAACTACAGCACGGTCACCTGACTTCACGTCACCACCGCTAAGCTAAAGGCGGCTAATGTTGGGCTATAAAGGAACTACAGCACGGTCACATGACTTCACGTCACCACCGCTAAGCTAAAGGCGGCTAATGTTGGGCTATAAAGGAACTACAGCACGGTCACATGACTTCACGTCACCACCGCTAAGCTAAAGGAGGCTAATGTTGGGCTATAAAGGAACTACAGCACGGTCACATGACTTCACGTCACCACCGCTAAGCTAAAGGTGGCTAATGTTGGGCTATGAAGAAACTACAGCACGGTCACATGACTTCACGTCACCACCGCTAAGCTAAAGGAGGCTAATGTTGGGCTATAAAGGAACTACAGCACGGTCACATGACTTCACGTCACCACCGCTAAGCTAAAGGAGGCTAATGTTGGGCTATGAAGAAACTACAGCACGGTCACATGACTTCACGTCACCACCGCTAAGCTAAAGGTGCGCGCGTGTGTGTGTGTGTGTGTGTGTCTGTGTGTGTGTGTGTGTGTGCGTGTGTGTGCGTGTGAGTCTCACCCTCAGTCCTTTGCTGTTCAGCACCTTTGGGTTCTTGGAGAAGTGCATCTGTGTGTTTCCGTCGGCGCTGACGGTCACTGCGATCTTCTTCAGAGTCCGGTTCCCACAGTGAGGACAGAACAGCCTGCTCATGTTGCTCGTCGTCCTGAAAAACAGGATTTGAGAAAACAAATATTAAGGTTTATGTGGTGGAAATTCCACATTCAATCAGCTTCTGGTAAGAAAAGAACAAATATACAAGCTTAAACCAAAAACGTGTTATTTAAAAGGTCTCCTAATATACTGTTTTTCATCAATATATCACAGGTCTCAGATATACCCAGAGCCTGTCTCTGATTGGTTGAAACACTTAACAGATCATTGCAGCATTACCCATAATCCCCTCTGTTTCAGAAGGGTTAATTAATTAATTAAATGAGACTTAAGATAAATTGCAGTTGATGTGGCCAGAGAAAGGAAAGTTTGGGGCTCTCTGCTGGAACTGCTACCCCCGCGACCCGACCACGGATAAGCGGGAGAAGATGGATTAAGATAAATTGCTACGATTCCTTCAGAGGAACGTCTGGTGTTTGATTTCACGTTGTTTTACTCACTTGAAGCAGGCGTGGCACCTCAGGATGTAGTTCCTCGCCTGTTTGATGAGCATGCCGTTAACGGACAGGACGTGAAGCCCGATCTGGATCAGAACGTTCTGGAAACAGGAGTTATCATCACTTATTACACGTTTTATTAGAATACTCGATCCTGATTGGTCAATTTGGAGATTTCAGAGGTTGTTAATACTCGATAAAACACTGTTGCCAAGCAAAATAATGACTGTTGCCAAGTTCCACTTTTTTTATATATTGTACAAAACACACATTTTAACTTTAATTTCTTATGTTTGTATAAATATTTGTTATTTTATTATTTAACATTTTAATTGAACATCTTGTATTTCTACTAATATATATCTTTTTTGCAGTTTTATTGAACCTTATGTTTATATTTGTTTCACATTTATTGATTACTTTGAAATATTTGTATTTATTGTCTTGTACATGTTTACCTTAAATAATGTTTATTTTTAAATTTTATATAAATATTTGGATTTTAATTTATAAAAAAATGGTAAAATAACAGATTATTTTTTGTCTTTGAAGACTTGAGGGTTCCTTTTGGTCCGAATCGTTACCTGCATGGCGAAGTCGGTGGTCAGACATCCGACTGTGACATCAGCGGGAGCCGTCCAATCAGAGGAGTCCATCTTCACCTGTTTGATGTTACCGGGAGTGATCCATCCTCCATCACCTTCCTCCTCTTCCTCTTCTTCATCCTCCTCATCATCATCTTCCTCCTCTTCAGGCTCGTTCTCTTTGTCCTCGTCGCTCCTCTGATCTGATGAAGAAACGTCGTCCAGATTCTGCAGAACAAACAACAGAATCACCGTTAGTCCTAAACTCTGACTAAAGTTCTGAACATTTTGAATTTCGCAGGAAAATGAAGTAATTCTGAATTGCGGAGAAAATGACTTTTCTTTTTAACTTTTTTCTGAAAATCACAAAATTCGGACTTTTTGAGAATTTCTCAGAAAATTCAATTCAAACTACACATTTGAACCAGAAATGGGAAAAGGGGCGGGGCTACATGAAGTGAATACGTTAAAGTGTAAATAATAATAAAGTGTGTTATGTCTAATCCTCACCAGCAGGTGCACCAGAGGCCTGTACTACGAAGCAGGATTTTCTCTTAGCGGCTAACTTCAGGTTAACTCTGGGTTTCCGGTCCTACGACGCTGGTTCTCTTTTTAGCAGGCTAGATCTCCATGGTAACTGATGCTGAGCGGCTAGCCTGCTCCGGAGCAGGTTAGGTTGCAGGCTAAGAGATCAACTCAGTGAAAGCACCGCCTGCTGACCAATCAGAGCTCAGTGTGCGGAGTTTAAAGCGATCAAGTCATATTACAGGAGAAAGGAAATACAGAAAAGCTGCCGTTGCAGGAAAGACGGCCGGCAAAAATCAGCGACTGTGTGAACGTGAACATTAATAGAATATCACCTCCATCTTCAGAGCAATCTGACCATTAGCGTTAAGAAAGCTTACTGAAATATCTGCCACAACATAAGTAACCGGATCAGAGTAACATTAAGTACAGTCCGCAGCATATCACTTCATAATGTATCATATATCTCCTGATCTGAGTCAGCTGAGCCGTATCTGGCCGTGCAACACTCACAGTGTCACAGACTGGATGCAGAAGTATTATTTTAAGCAACACATTAAGTTGACGAAACACTCGAGACAAATGTAATGAAAGTCAGATGGTGTCTTAGACGGGGCAGTGATATCATAAACCTGTTAATGTACGCATTCAAACACTTGTTCTGTTACCAGCTGTATTCACCTTGCAGGTGCAGCTCTGTGGCTTTGATCCTGGATCAAGTGTTTAAGTCATGGATGTTTAAAGTTTAACTTCTTCATATGTCTAATATTATAGTTGACTTTTCATTCAGGAAGTATGACGCTGCGCTGTCAGTACGCTTCTCCATGTTTGTGATTGGTCGAATGCTCCAGATACCACCCCTCTCATGTGAACGCGCACCTAACTAGATAGGACACGGCTGGCTTGAGCGATCCACTTGATAACCAGCGTCGTAGGACCGTTTAGCGAGAGCGCGTATGTTTTGGATTAGGCCAACCGGCTAACTCAAACATATCCAGGTTAGGTTGAACCGGCTTCATAGAACAGGCCTCAGGTATAAATAATAATCAAGTGTGTTATCTCTAACCCTCACCAGCAGGTGCATCAGAGAGTCGATGGAGGCGAGCGGCGGCCTCCAGAACTGGAAAGAGTTGAAAGTGTTGAAAGAGTCTGAAGACATCTCTTTGGGATCTGAAACCTCCAGAGGATCCTGAAGAAGCAAAGACCTTTTGTTTTTCTCCCAGATTTCAGACACAATTCTGTCTTTCGTCTGAAATTCTCAAATGTCTTACATTTTCGGAAAATCTCAAAATTCTGACTTTTTATTGAAAATCTTTTCTGAACATTTTAACTTTTCTGAAAATCTCTATATTTTGACTTTTTTCTCTAAATTTACACTTTTTTCTCTAAATAAAAAAAAAAAGAATAATTTTTTTTTGACTTTTTTCAGGAAATCTCAAAATATGTATTTTTTCTGAGCTTTAATAAACTTGTGTTAGCTCGTCTCCTCACCAGCAGCTGCAGCAGCTCTTTGTCGACGGTCGGCAGCGCCGGCCTCCAGAACTGGAAGCTGTTGAACGGATCTCCGTCCGGAAACTTCTGTCGAACACCAACGCTCTCTGAAGACTTCTGAGGATGAGAGAGGAACAGAGGAACTGAGGAACTGATGCTGCGTTCACACCGGACGCGATGCAAATATCCGCTTCGCTCTAAACACTCGAGTTTCACCGCGGCTGCCAGCTGTGTTTACTCGCGCTGGCTCGGGAGCTAACTACAACAAGATGAACATATTTGACCGTGATTTAATTGTAATACACGTTTCAAAATGATGCCGAAGTAACAACATACTGATACCGGTTAGTAAAAACCATGAATTAATGCTTTGAGTCTGCAGACAGACGGCAGGCGGAAAACTTTTAAAATGCGTGTTTTCTGAATGGAGCTTGGCTAAGCTAACGTTGTATATGCTCCGACCGTCCACACTCACAACAACGGCCTACAGACATAAATAAACCAGCGACTGTATTCGCCATGACACAGGCAGTCTGTGGTTTGTACTTGTTTAACTTTTGTCTAGTTTCTGAACAGATATGAGGAGCTGTGAGCTCTGAGTGCTAAGAGCTAACGGCTGATGTTTTCTGGTTGAACGTCAGTGACGGCAGGCTGAGATCCTCACCGCTGATTGGCTACTGCGAGAACACGTCACGCGAATATGACGCTCGAGTTGAAAAAATTGAACTCAAGCGTTTGTTGCGGCCCCCTTCAAATCGCGCCGCGGAATTCGCGTCCACCGCTTCATGCTCGCCGTCGGAGCGAATTCGCGTCTGTCCGCGTCTCTGCATTGACTTTACATGTAATCACGCCGCCCCCAAACATCGCATTGCGTCCGGTCAGGAATTGAGGGACTGAGGAACAGAGGGACTGAGGAACAGAGGTACTGAGGGACTGAGGAACTGAGGGACTGAGGAACAGAGGGACTGAGGAACAGAGGGACTGAGGAACAGAGGTACTGAGGAACTGAGGGACTGAGGAACAGAGGGACTGAGGAACAGACGTACTGAGGGACTGAGGAACAGAGGGACTGAGGAACAGAGGTACTGAGATACTGAGGTACTGAGGGACTGAGGTACTGAGGGACTGAGGTACTGAGGGACTGAGGTACTGAGGTACTGAGGGACTGAGGGACTGAGGGACTGAGGGACTGAGGGACTGAGGTACTGAGGTACTGAGGAACTGAGGGACTGAGGAACAGAGGGACTGAGGGACTGAGGGACTGAGGAACAGAGGTACTGAGGGACTGAGGGACTGAGGTACTGAGGAACTTAGAAACTGAGGAACTGAGGGACTGAGGTACTGAGGAACTGAGGGACTGAGGAACTGAGGTACTGAGGAACAGAGGTACTGAGGTACTGAGGAACAGAGGAACTGAGGGACTGAGGGACTGAGGGACTGAGGAACTGAGGAACTGAGGAACTGAGGTACTGAGGTACTGAGAAACTGAGGGACTGAGGTACTGAGGAACTGAGGAACTGAGGAACAGAGGTACTGAGGGACTGAGGGACAGAGGAACAGAGGAACAGAGGAACTGAGGGACTGAGGGACTGACGAAGGACCCTTCAGATGTGAGTTGAGATCAGAGAGAAAGTGTCTCTCACCTTTTCTCTGGAGGGCAGGAAGAACCCGGCCACGTTGACCGGAGTCTCTGGGTGGCGCTGAGTGCTGTGGACGTTCACCTGGAGCCAGAACACACACACACACACACACACACACACACACACACACACACACACACACACACACACACACACACACACACACACACACACACACACACACACACACCACACACACACACACACAGCACACACACACACACATCACACACACACCACACACACACACACCACACACACACACACACACACACACACACACACACACACACACACACACACACACACACACATACACACACACACACACACACACACACACACACACACTACACACACACACACACACACACACACACACACACACACACGACACACACGACACACACACACACACACACACACACACACACACACACACACACACACACACACACACACACACACACACACAGCACACACACACACACACACACCACCCAACACACACACACACACACACACACACACAGCTTAGTCCAACAAATACAAAATGTTCAACATTTTAAAAAACTGAAGTTTTTCTCAAAATACGTTTTTTTCTTATCTCAAAATTCTGACTTTTTTCCCAATATTTCAAAATTCCGATTTTCTGCGACAAAATACTCTAAATCTGCGGCCGTTAATCAGCTTATCCCATCACTTTTTTATGAAAGACAAACATTAGTATTGTGCCGTTCAAATATTTATAGAAACTTGTGTTTTTTGCACTTTTCAAGGTCAGAAAACATGAAAACGATTCTGCATTTTTTTGGGACATTTGTAAAACAGTGTTGTAAAAAACATTGTGCACCTTGACTTCTGGCTCTTTCTTCAGGTGTTTGGATCCCACGTGCTCCAGCTCTAGCTGGTAGGTCAGAGCCAGGACTTTGATGTCGGTCGCTGACAGACTCGGGTAGTCTCCCGTCTTCTTGGAGAACTCCGTCACTGAAACACCAATACAGCTAATCAATGAAACACCAATACAGTTAATCAATGAAACACCAATACAGCTAATCACTGAAACACCAATACAGCTAATCACTGAAACACCAATACAGCTAATCAATGAAACACCAATACAGCTAATCACTGAAACACCAATACAGCTAATCACTGAAACACCAATACAGCTAATCAATGAAACACCAATACAGCTAATCACTGAAACACCAATACAGCTAATCAATGAAACACCAATACAGCTAATCACTGAAACACCAATACAGCTAATCAATGAAACACCAATACAGCTAATCACTGAAACACCAATACAGCTAATCACTGAGACACCAATACAGCTAATCAATGAAACACCAATACAGCTAATCAATGAAACACCAATACAGTTAATCACTGAAACACCAATACAGTTAATCACTGAAACACCAATACAGCTAATCACTGAAACACCAATACAGCTAATCACTGAAACACCAATACAGTTAATCACTGAAACACCAATACAGCTAATCAATGAAACACCAATACAGCTAATCAATGAAACACCAATACAGCTAATCAATGAAACACCAATACAGTTAATCACTGAAACACCAATACAGCTAATCACTGAAACACCAATACAGCTAATCACTGAAACACTAATACAGTTAATCACTGAAACACCAATACAGCTAATCACTGAAACACCAATACAGCTAATCAATGAAACACTAATACAGTTAATCACTGAAACACCAATACAGCTAATCACTGAAACACCAATACAGCTAATCACTGAAACACCAATACAGCTAATCAATGAAACACCAATACAGCTAATCAATGAACACCAATACAGCTAATCACTGAAACACCAATACAGCTAATCACCTGAAACACCCAATACAGCTAATCACTGAAACACCAATACAGCTAATCACTGAAACACCAATACAGCTAATCACTGAAACACCAATACAGCTAATCACTGAAACACCAATAAGCTAATCACTGAAACACCAATACAGCTAATCAATGAATACACCAATACAGCTAATCACTGAAACACCAATACAGCTAATCACTGAAACACCAATACAGCTAATCACTGAAACACCAATACAGCTAATCAATGAAACACCAATACAGCTAATCACTGAAACACCAATACAGCTAATCACTGAAACACCAATACAGCTAATCAATGAAACACTAATACAGTTAATCACTGAAACACCAATACAGCTAATCACTGAAACACCAATACAGCTAATCACTGAAACACCAATACAGCTAATCACTGAAACACCAATACAGCTAATCACTGAAACACCAATACAGCTAATCACTGAAACACCAATACAGCTAATCACTGAAACACCAATACAGCTAATCACTGAAACACCAATACAGCTAATCAATGAAACACCAATACAGCTAATTACTGAAACACCAATACAGCTAATCAATGAAACACCAATACAGCTAATCACTGAAACACCAATACAGCTAATCACTGAAACACCAATACAGCTAATCACTGAAACACCAATACAGCTAATCAATGAAACACCAATACAGCTAATCAATGAAACACCAATACAGCTAATCAATGAAACACCAATACAGCTAATCACTGAACACCAATACAGCTAATCACTGAAACACCAATACAGCTAATCACTGAAACACCAATACAGCTAATCACTGAAACACAATACAGCTAATCACTGAAACACCAATACAGCTAATTACTGAAACACCAATACAGCTAATTCAATGAAAACCAATACAGCTAATCACTGAAACACCAATACAGCTAATCAATGAAACACCAATACAGCTAATCAATGAAACACCAATACAGCTAATCACTGAAACACCAATACAGCTAATCACTGAAACACCAATACAGCTAATCACTGAAACACCAATACAGCTAATCACTGAAACACCAATACAGGTAATCACTGAACACCAATACAGCTAATCACTGAAACACCAATACAGCTAATCACTGAAACACCAATACAGCTAATCACTGAAACACCAATACAGCTAATCACTGAAACACCAATACAGCTAATCACTGAAACACCAATACAGCTAATCACTGAAACACCATACAGCTAATCACTGAAACACCAATACAGCTAATCAATGAAACACCAATACAGCTAATCAATGAAACACCAATACAGCTAATCAATGAAACACCAATACAGCTAATCACTGAAACACCAATACAGCTAATCACTGAAACACCAATACAGCTAATCACTGAAACACCAATACAGCTAATCAATGAAACACCAATACAGCTAATCAATGAAACACCAATACAGCTAATCAATGAAACACCAATACAGCTAATCACTGAAACACCAATACAGCTAATCACTGAAACACCAATACAGCTAATCAATGAAACACCAATACAGCTAATCAATGAAACACCAATACAGCTAATCACTGAAACACCAATACAGCTAATCACTGAAACACCAATACAGCTAATCACTGAAACACCAATACAGCTAATCAATGATACACCAATACAGCTAATCAATGAAACACCAATACAGCTAATCAATGAAACACCAATACAGCTAATAAATGAAACACCAATACAGCTAATCACTGAAACACCAATACAGCTAATCACTGAAACACCAATACAGCTAATCACTGAAACACCAATACAGCTAATCACTGAAACACCAATACAGCTAATCACTGAAACACCAATACAGCTAATCAATGAAACACCAATACAGCTAATCACTGAAACACCAATACAGCTAATCACTGAAACACCAATACAGCTAATCACTGAAACACCAATACAGCTAATCACTGAAACACCAATACAGCTAATCAATGAAACACCAATACAGCTAATCAATGAAACACCAATACAGCTAATCAATGAAACACCAATACAGCTAATCAATGATACACCAATACAGCTAATCACTGAAACACCAATACAGCTAATCACTGAAAAACCAATACAGCTAATCAATGAAACACCAATACAGCTAATCAATAAAACACCAATACAGCTAATCACTGAAACACCAATACAGCTAATCACTGAAACACCAATACAGCTAATCAATGAAACACCAATACAGCTAATCAATGATACACCAATACAGCTAATCAATGAAACACCAATACAGCTAATCACTGAAACACCAATACAGCTAATCAATGAAACACCAATACAGCTAATCACTGAAACACCAATACAGCTAATCAATGAAACACCAATACAGCTAATCAATGAAACACCAATACAGCTAATCACTGAAACACCAATACAGCTAATCACTGAAACACCAATACAGCTAATCAATGAAACACCAATACAGCTAATCACTGAAACACCAATACAGCTAATCACTGAAACACCAATACAAGCTAATCAATGAAACACCAATACAGCTAATCAATGAAACACCAATACAGCTAATCACTGAAACACCAATACAGCTAATCACTGAAACACCAATACAGCTAATCACTGAAACACCAATACAGCTAATCACTGAAACACCAATACAGCTAATCAATGAAACACCAATACAGCTAATCAATGAAACACCAATACAGCTAATCACTGAAACACCAATACAGCTAATCAATGAAACACCAATACAGCTAATCAATGATACACCAATACAGCTAATCACTGAAACACCAATACAGCTAATCACTGAGACACCAATACAGCTAATCAATGAAACACCAATACAGCTAATCAATGAAACACCAATACAGCTAATCACTGAAACACCAATACAGCTAATCACTGAAACACCAATACAGCTAATCACTGAAACACCAATACAGCTAATCACTGAAACACCAATACAGCTAATCACTGAAACACCAATACAGCTAATCAATGAAACACCAATACAGCTAATCAATGAAACACCCAATACAGCTAATCACTGAAACACCAATACAGCTAATCAATGAAACACCAATACAGCTAATCAATGATACACCAATACAGCTAATCACTGAAACACCAATACAGCTAATCACTGAAAACACCAATACAGCTAATCAATGAAACACCAATACAGCTAATCACTGAAACACCAATACAGCTAATCAATGAAACACTGAGAGGACACAGTGTGGTGTGTTCAGGGACGGTTTGTTTACCGTGTCTGATGTGTTCAGGGACACAGTGTGGTGTGTTCAGGGACAGTTTGTTTACCATGTCTGATGTGTTCAGGGACGGTGTGTGGTGTGTTCAGTGTCACAGTGTGGTGTGTTCAGGGACGCTGTGTTTACTGTGTTTGATGTGTTCAGGGTCAGTGTGTGGTGTGTTCAGGGACACAGTGTGGTGTGTTCAGGGACGCTGTGTTTACTGTGTTTGATGTGTTCAGGGTCAGTGTGTGGTGTGTTCAGGGACACAGTGTGGTGTGTTCAGGGATGCTGTGTTTACCGTGTCTGATGCGTTCAGGGTCAGTGTGTGGTGTGTTCAGGGACACAGTGTGGTGTGTTCAGGGATGCTGTGTTTACCGTGTCTGATGCGTTCGGGGTCAGTGTGTGCCAGAGTCCTGCATCGGGTACCCGACGGGTGACCTGCAAAAAAAGGTGATTCGCGGATGGTATTTTTTCAAACGCTTTTTTCCGGGTTCGGTTCTGGGTAAAACAAAGATGATGCGGGTCGGGTCGCGGGTGTTGCATAATAAATATATCAAAATAATAATAATTTTGTTTAATGTTTAAATCCTCAGACCTCTCCCCCGCGGGACCGCGCATAATCATAACCTCTGCAGCGCATCAATCTGCTGCTGAGCGCCACATTGGAAATGGCTGAGGTGAAGCTCTCTAGCGGAGAATACAGCACTTTCAATAACACTTCCTCAAGAGTGAAATCCAACGTCTGGAGGCTTTTGGTTCCTAGATGGAGAAAAGAACCAACATCCCACGCTTTTTGAGACAAATATGCACCTGCGCGTGTTAATAATTGCACGTTTTCACTGCTCATATATAGGCTATGCGGGTCGGGTCGGGTGGCGGATCTTGTGCCGACGGGGTCGGGTTGCGGAACTAATTGGCAACATGTGCGGGTAGCGGGGCGGGTTCGGTATTGCACGTCGCGGGTGCGGGGCGGGAGCGGGTCTTGAAAATCAGACCCGTGCAGGACTCTGGTGTGTGGTGTGTTCAGGGACAGAGTATGTGGTGTGTTCAGGGACGCTGTGTTTACCGTGTCTGATGTGTTCAGGGTCAGTGTGTGGTGTGTTCAGGGACACAGTATGTGGTGTGTTCAGGGACGCTGTGTTTACCGTGTCTGATGTGTTCAGGGTCAGTGTGTGGTGTGTTCAGGGACACAGTGTGGTGTGTTCAGGGACGCTGTGTTAACTGTGTCTGATGTGTTCAGGGTCAGTGTGTGGTGTGTTCAGGGACACAGTGTGGTGTGTTCAGGGACGGTGTGTTCAGGGACACAGTATGTTGTGTTCAGGGACGCTGTGTTTACCGTGTCTGATGCGTTCGGGTCAGTGTGTGGTGTGTTCAGGGACACAGTATGTGGTGTGTTCAGGGACGCTGTGTTTACCGTGTCTGATGTGTTCAGGGACAGTTTGTTTCCGTGTCTGATGTGTTCAGGGTCAGTGTGTGGTGTGTTCAGGGTCAGTTTGTTAACTTGTCTGATGTGTTCAGGGTCACAGTGTGGTGTGTTCGGGGACGGTGTGTGGTGTGTTCAGGGTCAGTGTGTGGTGTGTTCAGGGATGGTGTGTGGTGTGTTCAGGGTCAGTGTGTGGTGTGTTCAGGGACGGTGTGTGGTGTGTTCAGGGTCAGTGTGTGGTGTGTTCAGTGACAGAGTTTGGTGTGTTCAGGGTCAGTGTGTGGTGTGTTCAGGGTCAGTGTGTGGTGTGTTCAGGGACGGTGTGTGGTGTGTTCAGGGTCAGTGTGTGGTGTGTTCAGTGACAGAGTTTGGTGTGTTCAGGGACGGTGTGTGGTGTGTTCAGGGTCAGTGTGTGGTGTGTTCAGGGACAGAGTTTGGTGTGTTCAGGGACGGTGTTTGATGTGTTCAGGGTCAGTGTGTTCAGGGACGGTGTGTTCAGGGTCAGTGTGTGGTGTGTTCAGGGACAGAGTTTGGTGTGTTCAGGGACGGTGTGGTGATGTGTTCAGGGTCAGTGTGTGGTGTGTTCAGGGACGGTGTGTTCAGGGTCAGTGTTGTGTGTTCAGGGTCAGTGTGTGATGTGTTCAGGGTCAGAGTTTGGTGTGTTCAGGGTCAGTGTGTGGTGTGTTCAGGGACACAGTATGGTGTGTTCAGGGACAGTTTGTTACCGTGTCTGATGTGTTCGGGGTGTGGCTCTCTGAAGGTCAGTTGGTACGGCAGGAAAGCTAAACTCCTCCTCGTGGGTTTGTCTCTGATCTCGTCCACCACGTCCTTCAGCGTGTAGATCGTGCTGCCGATCTCCTGCAGAACAAAACAATAAAGAATTAAAAAAGGAAAGACAAAGTAAAATAAAGACCTGGCAGACTAGTCTAATTCCCTTTAATTTGTTCAGCATACTATTTACAGACAAAGGCAGACTTACAACCTAAAACACAATTTATTTAAATATGAATGAGGGTGTTGAAAGAAAGAAAAGGCACATGTTTATACATATTGAAATAATACAAAACTTAAAGGGGACCTATCATGCAAAATGCACTCTTGTACGTCTTTTATACGTGAATATGTGTCCCCGGTGTGTCAGGGAACTCACCAAGTGTCAGAAAACACAACCCTCTCTCTTTTCCTCCGTACCCACATCTAAAAAAAAAAGGGGCTGCAATGGATCTGATACAGACTGATCCAGATTTGAACACTGTCCTGACGTCAGGACGGTGGCGCTACGGCTATTGGCCAACTCTCCACCTATCAGGGGAATGTGGGGTTGGGCCACGGCCGGCCATTGCCGCTCGAAAGCGCTGTAGTACATATGCCAGGCCTGTAAGTGGCGCTGTAGTCTGCCACAAAAGCAGCGAAGAAGACTTTAGAGATGTCCCGATCCGATCACGTGATCGGGGATCGGAGCCGATCACGTGATTTTTAAAAGATCGGAATCGGGAGAAAAAGATCGGGGATCGGGAATCCTTAAAAAAATTATTTTATTTAATGTTACAAAACAAAAATGACCATGTTCACGTCTTAAAGTCACCCTGAGGCCTTAGCTTTGGTTTCAAATTACACAACATCATGTGTTGCTTCTCTTGGGCTTGCTCAGACCTGGTTGCTTATTCCTCTCAAAGCAACAGAGTGGGCGCAGTGTCTAATAGTAGCAGTAAGCTAACGAGAGGCTACGTTCAGCTGGTGACTCGGGAGTCGGGACAGAGAAAATGTCAGGAGTTTGGAAGTATTATAAAATTGAAAGCGATGGCAGTGTAACAGCCAGATGCAATGATTGCAAGAAGGAGGTTCCGCGTGGTGGAAAGAACAGAGCTACGTTCAACACGACCAATCTAACACGATTGTTTGTTTTTTCATTTTTCCCCCCGTTTTTTTTTCAAATGGAATTGATTGAAATCTCCAATATCAGCGTAAGAGCTTGTGCCTCTTCGGGGGGTGCTAACACTGAACCATAAACGTTATCGTTTACTTTCTCCGTCTTTATATGTAGATATTACTTTTCTCCGTTAATCTCCGTCACGTTGTTTCCATAGCAACAACAACTTCCTGTCAACAGCGCTACCTCTCCTTCAAAATAAAAGCATGTCCACAAATAGGAAGCCAAGCCAAATTACACTTAAGACATATACAACTGCAACGAAAGTAACAAACACAATGCGATATCCTTTTCAATTTCAAAGAACACAAATTGGGTTACATTAACAAATAACTTTAAAACAACAATACTGTAGAATAACTAAATGAATGCCGTGAATACACCGAAACACACGTGTTGAAGTGGTTCGCTGCTGATTACTATTGAATTGTGTTACTCCAGTAAGATGGAAATATAATACTTTGTTTATTCATGTTATGTTAAGCTGCTGTTGTTCATTGCATTAATACTAGGGGTGTAACGGTACACGTACCCGTACCGAAATTATTCGGTACGGGCCCTTCGGTTCGGTACAGGTGTGTACCGAAGTGTACCGAACGAATATAACGTTAAACGTAAAAAATTGAGAACGTGAATAACTTTTTGGAAGTAATCTCAGGTGCTGCGTCGCAGCATTCAGAGTAATTTGCTCACATTGGGTTCAACGCGTCATAGAGCGAGCAAGTCATTTCATTGGATGAGAGGCATACTATGAGAGCTGGTCAGAGGGATGCGTTCAAATGTAGTCAGTAATTTGAGGAACTGTCAAAAATGTATGGCGAACGCAGATAAAGTTGAGCTCGAAAATCCTCCAGCATCATTGAAGTCTCCGGTTTGGGAACATTTTGGTTTTGCAGTTACGAACAAGGATGACGGACAAAGACAGGTGGACCGAACCAAAGCTGTTTGTCGGCATTGTTCAACTA